AATATGGACAAAGCTAATATGATAAAACTAACAATGCATGCACATGCATCTTATTGTGTCTTGCATAAACATGTAGTCAAAGGATCACAAAGACACAGAGTCTATGTTTTCTTCTGTAAAGGATTGCCAAATTATTCTCCAGTTGTATATAAGAGTTATGGTTGGTAGCTCCACGTTGGTCTTACCTCTTTGTCTTGTTAATCTTTGTGATTTAGGCTGTATGAAGTGAGTGTGTAATAGTATCTCACTGTGATTTTTAATTTGCATTTCCATAGTGGTAAAAGCATACATTTTCCTGTGCTTATTTTTTTGTGAATTATTTCCTAAGATAGATTGAGATGATCTATAGGTTTATGAGCTGTAGACTAGGACAAGATAAAGGTCTCAGGGAAGAGTCTTATAGCATTTCAACAAAAACAGAGCAGGGCTAATTTAGGGCTTTAGATGCATTCACAATCCAAAGACTATGAAGGTTTTTTTTCTGAGAGGTTTTTTTTTAATTGTTTACTGTTTTACACCAATTCTACATGGCTGTAATAAAGGTACACCCAAATGTATATAATGCTTTATTTGTGTTTCTTGATACTTAGGAGAACATTTATAGATTTTTAAAATAATCTAAATGAGTCTTACCTCATTAACAAATGGTGGGTCCTCCCTCAGAACTACTCCACCCTTAAATCTATATGCATTTTTTCATAAGTACTACCCTAAGAAAATAAATAACAAAAGGTGTGATTTACGGCTATTAGTAAAAAGATTCTTCCCTTTGTACTCTTTATCCAAATTTATAATATTAAGAAATGAGGAGAATGATTTTATAAAATGCATAACAAATTTTTAGCATTCAAAAGTATGTTATTACTAGTGTGGATTAATTAAAACTACGGCAATTCAGGAATTGGATTTCCAGACTCTTCAAGTTTCTCGTACAATTTTATATATGGAAGTACAAAAACAAAATCTCCTTGTTAATGAATAATTAACCAAAACAATTGAGCTACTGAGCTAAGTGTGTGAGAGTTCTGGTGTTTTAGTTCAGATGGTGATGTGTGCAGAGAGGGCTGTAACATTTTCGCTGACTGTATAATACTCACTGACCTTTTTCACAACATGCTTCACATGAGAAGAGTACAGTCCTTAGAAATGTGGGCCACTGCTACTTCTCAAAAATCACCTCTTTTCTATTGGCAGATGGAAGGGCTTCGTGAGCTTCTTTAATGGAATAAGAAAGCCATGCTGCTTTTCTAAAGTCACAGCACAGAAGTGGAAGCCAGGCTTCAACCCCATTTTTCCACTCCAAAGATTTTTTCCAACCACCATGTTGCAATTATCTATGGAGGAAATAATCACGCTAATAATGTGTTGGTTAGTTGTGCCACAGAAGCAGGGAGCATGTCTTCTGGTTCAAAACAGAGATCTAACTGACCTCAGCAGCAGTCTCTTAGGAACTGTCATAGTCAGTGTTCTATTGCTGTGAAGAAACACCATGATGAACACAGTAAGTCTTACAAAGGAAAACATTTCATTGGGACTTGCTTATCGTTTTAGACATTTAATCCATTATTGGTATGGCGAGGAACATGGCAGGACACAGGCAGACATGGTGTTAGAGAGATAGCTGGGAGTTCCACATCCAGATCAGCAGGCAGAGAGAGACAATGGACCTGGCTTGAGCTTTGAAACCCCAAAACTCACCTCCAGTGACACACTTCCTCCAACAGTGCCATATCTTCCCCAACAAAACTCCACCTCCTATTCCCTGTCAAGTAGTACCATGACCAAGCACTCAAATATATGAGCCTATGGGTGTATTCCTATTTAGACAACCACAGGAACACAAAAACAAAGGACCATGATGGAGAGTGTGAGGCAGAAAGAGACAGATGAGATGATAAGAAAGTCATCAGTTCTGGTGGCACATGCCTGTTTGCTTGACACTCAGGAAGCTGAGGCTGAAAGATCATGAGTTTGAGGCCAGACTGGTCTATATAGCAAGACTACTAGAGCAGAAAAGGAAAGAAATGTCAAGAAAGACCACCAGCGTTGTGTTCCTTTTGTATGTGAACCTTGGGTGGTTATTATCTGTTGGCAATAACAAGGGCCCTGACAGGATGAAGTTAAATACAAAATAGTTCCTCATTGTAGGGAAACTTAAGATTTAGCTCCTGAAGGCAGAAATTACTGAGGCCCTACAACTTAGGAGATTCTCCCCTCTGCCTTTCCAGGGAAAAAGCCAAGCAGGACAATAAAATTATGGAAGCATATGTGATACCATGCACCCATGTAGTAAACCAGAGGTACTTCAGTTTTAAACATATACTTTTAAATTACTGAGGCCCTACAACTTAGGAGGTTCTCCACTTTGCCTTTCAAGGGAAAAAGCCAAGCAGGACAATAAAATTATAGAAGCATATGTGATACCATGCACACATGTAGTAAACCAGAGGTACTTCAGTTTTAAACATATACTTTTATATTTACTGTATATCAGTCACTCTGATAGGTACAGGGCATGACTCAAGAATCAGAGAAGTCTGAAAATTTTCAATAATCATAAAGGCAGAAACAGACATTCAAGCCCATGAATAATTCTATACAGATGTTGATAGATCAATGAGGCAATATCTTATGTGCCTAATGTAGTATCAGAGACCCTGGATATTATTTCATAATTCTTTTGCATGTGCTGAATTACACAGACTGTTATACAGTAACATGCAGTGTGTACATCTAGTCACAATGCTTAATTCATTTCTGTTTTGAAGTAGTTCCTAGTTGAGTGATCCAAGGATAGCCCATTGTTTTTAATACAGTGTTCACTTAAAGTAAAAATTAAAGAAGCAAGGACTCTTTAGGAAGCATAAACATAGTCAAAGAGATGAAGCAACATATTCTATTATTTCTTGAGTCCATCTGCACACAGCACTTACTAAATAATTTGAAGACTGTGCATACTTATGAAAAAAACTTTTATAAATTTGACTAATCTCTTGGTATGACCTGTGCCCTAAAAGTCTTCAGACAGACCAATGTGGAGTCTGTTTCAGCGATATCTACTACATTTTAAATAGCTGGAATTTATTGGGTTAAAAAGCCTCAAGCCATCTGGAATATTCATCTGTTCAGAATAACTCATTTCCAGGGAGTTCTGTATCGTCAAGGACTTACTGTATGTGTTTTCACATAATGTGAGCAGAAGTGTGACTATTTGTAACATTTAAACTCACAATTTCCATAAACGAAAGAAAGTTCAGTATGAGATTTCTCATGACTCAGTTTTTCTCTGCCTCCTGAACGTGCAGCTTGCCGGAGCTGGTGAATAGGCAACGCTGTAAATGCAGTAGGTGACAGTGAGGTGCTCAGCAGCGTCTGCAGAGGATGAAGCGTGCTCTTTCCCAGTCAGCTGGCTTTTCAAGATCTTTGCTAAAGGAGTGATGCAAAAACTCTCTGGGACTCTTTCATCAGTCATCAAACTTGTGGCTTTTAGAGAACGTTGGATTTGAGAAGCTTTTCATGAAGCACCTTGAAACAGCTTGCTATGGAAATGGAGAGAAGGAAGGCAGATGCCTGAAAAGACATTTTTTCTTTTAGTTAACATATCACAGGATGGGCTCTGTGCCCAAACTTGAGAATTCAGAACTCGTTGACATGAAAAGGAGCTCTCTTTCTTTCACAAAGCTGTTGGATTACTCCGGGGATTTGAATACCACCCCCCTCTCTGTCCCATAGATGCTTTCTACATTAAATCTGGGTAACTCTTTTCATGTTAAATGGTTATAGGTCTCTGGATTTTTCCAGAAAAGTTATATCTCTTGGGTTCCTAAGGAAATATACACAATGGTAATGGTCTTATCAGAGGAAAGGGGTGGAAGCCAGAGTCAGGGCTGTCTTTCGTCAAGGTAATATTTACAGCGAAGTAAATCAACATTTCAGCTCTGGAAATCCTAAATTTGTTGCCAGACAGTATCTGAAGGTTATTGTGGGCTTGTTGACTGAATACAGATCCCTTTAACTTTTCTAAGAGAACCTGGCTCCTGTGTTTGTTCCTGTTCATTCTTGTCGGATTCTAGGTTAAACCGGGCGACTCATAGGGGCATCCATCACTAAGAGTGGGGTGTCATTCTCACTGAAATGAACTTCTCTGCACTTTGTAGTTTAAATGTTATAATGGTATCTGAAAAAAAGTAAAATTTGTTCAAAATGTTCTTTTTCTGATATGAGGAAAAGTGTTATTTTTAATAATCAGTAAGTTGTTTCTAAGATCTTACATTTCTGGTGTATACAAGATTGTCCATGCATGTGTAGTAAACATTGATGGAATATCTCCTGTGTTTCCAGGCACTCTGCTAGATGCTGGAAGAACAGAGTGTTTATCTGGAGACTCCACAGCAAACTCAAAGAAAGCAAGAATGAAATAAAGAAGACTAGGAAGTAATGGGCAGGTGAAGTTAAAGGTTCCTGCTTTTTTGTTTGTTTGTCTTCATTTGGGTGCCTAAGGGGCCAGGCAAAGGCAAAGTGTGGAGGGGTTCCCAAAAGGAGATTTTCAGAGAACAGAAAGAGAACTGGAGTATTATCTGATAAAAACTAAAGGCTGGTACAGCACAAGGAGACTTCATCAAAGAGACCTCAGGACTGAATACCAATTTTTGCTCTCTATATTTTAAGCTTCTGGTATCCATGTGCCAGATTCTAAAACATTAAGAAAAAAATAACTTTTGTCTGGGAAGATGGCTCTAGTTAGTGAAGTGTCTGAGCTGAGCTCAAAACTCCAGCACCCATGTAACAAGTTGACTACCATGATGCATTTCTGTAATCCTAGCACCGAGGTAGAGATCAGAGGCAGGCACATCTGTAGAGCTTGCTCTCTGGCCAAGGCCAGTTGTGGTGGGTAGCTGTTCTAGTTATGACCTTGAAGCACTACCCTTTGTGAGGTAACAGGCTACTGTTACACCTGCCTTTGACCTTGAAGTACATGTCCCTGTGGTATGGTTGCTTGAGACCCTTACGAGCTGGAATATACATACATGGTGCCACACTGTACTTCTGCACCCTGCCTCAGAAAGTAAGGTGGAGACTTACTGAGGGAAGTTATTCACCTTGACCTCTGAATCCCACACACAGGTGCACTCACGTGTGTAGGTTTGCACGCATACAACACATACATGAATGCACACACATCCAAGGAGAGAAAGTTCCTAATATGGACTAGAAAGTGTTCCACTGAAAATAATAACAATACGTTTTCCACATGGTTACCATAGCCAGAAGAACATTCATGAGCTCACTTGGAAGAGTTTGAAGAAAACACACAAGAAAATAAATATGAATGACATTCTTTTTAAAAAAAGATAAAACTGTGCAGGTCTACACAGAGGATGACAAAATGTACTTGTTACTGAGAGGATGGCCTGTTCATCCTCACAAACTGTTGAAAGCCTGAAAGCCTTTAAGAGAGGAAATAAAATGGAAAAATATTCTAATTATAATCTCAATTTAAAAAAAACACCCTAAAATCACAGAGATTTGGGGCTGAAGAATGAGTCGGGCACCAAACTAAAGATCAGTTGCAGAAGTGCCTTGTTAATGATTCTTCCCATTGTCTCTCCGTTTTGACCGTGTCATCGGAGCAGTCCTCAAGATTTAAAGGATCGCCATGGCAAGACTGCAGAGAACGAGTGAGGTATGGAGGGAAAGGATGCTTGGCAGCTAGACTCGGAGAAGACAGAGTCATTAGAACATCCTGTGGAGATGCGGTACATAGACACAGGAAGAAGAATGAACTGTTTGGGTAAGAAACAGAAGGACACAGACACCTTGAAGGTATTTGGAGGATGGGGAGAAGAGGCAACATAAAGAGGGCTGTATGTTGCCTCAGAGTTTTGGGGTTGGCCATGGAGTGAGTATCAATGCCACTCAAAGAACAATCACTGTGGAAACAAGAAAAGATTTGCATTTGGAAGATGAGATTATAAGTATATCTGTATTTCAGATGCAGATGATTTTATAAATGTTGGTTTGAACTTTGGGTGGGAAACTGGAAACAAAAACATAGATTTTTCGTTTCTTTTCTCTTATGTTTTGCACAGTAATATTCCTCATAAAATCAATGTTGTTGGTTATATCATGTTTAGATACAAGCCCAAGTAAGAGGCAATGTCCATAGGCAGATAAGCAATAGAGAACTAGCTGTATATGGATGTGTTAATTTCCCTTCAACATAGTAGATTTAAATATGTAACAGATTTGAAAGCACATTGCTTAAAGAGAAGTTACTTTTAATGAGATTTAGGTGATTTGAACTAAAAATATTTATGTCCCATCTGATTTGACATAATATTACCATAGACTGAGACACATATATGCCTAAGAATTTGAGCACTGAGCTCTCTGTACAGACTATGTCTAGGATTAGAGTTTTAAGAAGTTAACTATAGTTGGCTGTCACATGAAATGTGGATCATAGAAGTGTGTTAGGTAAGAGCAACTTTGGGTCTCAGACCTCATTTTTTCTTGTTAGATGATCTTTTGAATGTATATTATTTCTACAATTTTCTTATCTCTAAAATGAAGGTGACATAATGATAATAAGAGAAAAATCATGAAATAAGTATGGTATCCTTTTATCAATATACAACCTCACTAATATGGAAATAAGGCTAAAGATTAAAATATGAATATGTAAAGACAATCAAAGCATCTTTACTAATGCAAAGTAAACTTCCTAAAGTCAAATAACTATGACTTATCATGTTGTTTTCATTATCTTAGAAACTGTAGACTCGAAGAAAAGTTTAAAATGTCCATTAAAATGTAAAAAGTTCCTTACTTAAGGTAATTTTTAAAATAATTTAAAAGCATAAGGTATTATAAATTCTGTAAATAGTTCTACTTAACAAAATGTCCTTACACTTACAAAGAAAATAAAGCAAGTAAAAGCAAACAACAAGTAGTTAAGAAATTTTGAAAGTGATTTTAAATTGAATAAAGTTTAAGCTTGAAAAGTTATTATACCAACACTACTAGATTAAAAACATTTAAAGACTGCATTAAAATATGTGAAAATAACATTCCAGTAAATGTACAGATTCAAAGAACACAAAGCTTGTAGTAGTTCTTAGCTGAGCATATTTCATAATACTGAACTTTGTAGTTTCTCAAAAAATATTCTTGTAGCAAAGAACTAGGAAGTGCAGTTCATCTGAGGCTGGCACAGAATTTCCCCACAGTGTAGAGCCTCTGGTGATTTCCTGCACTCTCCACTTCCCCTTCTGGCTATGGTGGGGTAGCCATCCATTTGTGGTCAGCCTTCTTGCCCCCAAGGAGCCAAATAGACGTTGGTTTAAATATAAAGTCATGAGCTCTGGAGAGTCAGGGTGACATGGTTGACACTATTTTCATCATACAGAATCAAAAGACAGTGACTTAGATTAAGTGGAAAGAATTCTGAGACAGAAATTACCAGAAATGGTTCAAGAGGAAATAATATTTCACAGAAAACAACAACCAAAGGAATTAAATTAGTAATCAAAACCTCCCCACACAGAAAAGCTCAGGAACACAGAGCTCTGCTGAAGAAGTTTCTCAAGTATTTTAAGAAGAATTAAGACCAGTTCTTCACAAACTAAAAAAGAGAACATAAGAGAATTTTGCCCACTTCTTGTGAGGCCACTTAGCCTGACATCAAACAATGGAGACATGTGCGTAAAGGGAAGTTGCAGATCATAACTTTACGTAACTAGACAAAATAAATATTCCAAGAGAATACTACTATTTGATACACTTGGGTATATAGAGGTATATAATGCCTAAGTGGGATTTCTCAATCAAGTGAGTAAATTAAATAAGAGGAACAGAAGCAAATCATATTGAAACAAAAGAAGGTTATCTTTATTTGAAAATGATGTGAACTTGTACAATGAAAATTATCAGAAATTTCTACTGCATTAGATACATTTGAACAAATCCCATAAGGTTTAGACATACATTTTTGTATATTAAAATCTATATACAAGCAAGGAACAAACTAAAAATGAAATTGAAGATGAAAAAGAGTAAAATACTGAGGAACAAATAGGTATGGCAGGGTACGTGAGATTTTACAAGTTACAGGTGAGAGATATTTGCCAGTCACATACTGATAAAAAAGTGGTATATACGCTACATGAAAAATTCTTACAAATCAAAAATAAACATAAAAACAAATAATCCTGCTAATTTCCCAAGGTATAGGAATGATTATTGCCCCCTAAAACTGCACTAGATGTTCAATATCTTGGAAAATGGAAGACCAAACCATAAATATATGTCATTCCTTATCTACTAGGACCTGGGCTATAATTAAATGAGAGTGTTTCCTGACTTCCTGGGAAGAAGAGAACAAACATCAATTGACTCCACCGAGGGCTTCAACAACAGACCAAAGAAATGATTCTACTCAACTCCAGTGTGGGAAACCAATGAGTTTATAAAAGAGCAGGAAAGAGGATCATTCCAGCATGGGTGACAACTCATGAAAGCTGTAGCCATGAATCTCCTTGCTCAACTTGTGATCAGATCCACTGAAGACAACCCATTCTATATTTCTATAAGGAAATATGATTTCCTTATAGAGGTGGCCTCATGAGGTTCCTAACTTTGGTAAACTTCTCAAGTCTTGTAAATTTCATGAACTTTCTGAGGCATGAAAACATCCAACTTGTTTCCAGGAGGGGTGTTTCTGTTTGGGGACAAAGCTACACAACAGACAGAAAATACATTTGGCTGAAGAGTAATCAGAACCTTCTTGAGAAAACAGGCCAGTATTTCCTTCAAACGCTAAGCAGAGGTTGCCAGTTCCTACTCAGCAGTCCCATTTTTATGTACATAGTCAAAAGACAAAAATGGCTGGGCAGTGGTGGCACACGCCTATCATCTCAGCATTCGAGAGGCAGAGGTAGGCAGATCTCTGAGTTTGAGGCAAGCTTGGTCTACAGAACAAGTTCCAGGACAGCCAAGGATACACAAAGAAACCCTGTCTTGAAAAACAAACATACATACAAACAAACAAACAAACAAACAAACAAACCAGAAAGAAAAAAAAAGAAAAAAATGTATGTATATGCGAAAACTTGGGCACATATATTCACAGCAACACTATACAGAATATCAAAACAAATTTTGTTCAATACAAAATTGACCTTGAGTTGATTAGTAAATCCACAAAATGTACTTTGCCCATATAATAGAATATTATTCAACTTCAGAAAGGAATGAGGTACTAATATACAGATACTCACTCTAAAAGCATTATATTATTTTTCTAAGTTTTGTGGTATATATAATATTTGACAGCTCTAAAAATATAATTTGTTTCTCATGCAGAATAAAATTAGTCACTAATTTGTAATATTTTCCCCTGAAGAGATTACTACCAACATCATAGTTTTAGACTTCACAAAAACTGAACCCACCTCACTTGGCAGTCAATATGAATTAAATGTTATAGCATAAGCGGAGAAAATCATGGTCCTTCTGGAAATTACTGTACAAGTAGTTTGCTCTCCTTTAGCCTTTCCTCTCATTTCCTTTTATCTGTGAACAGTATTTAGTAAGACAAGGGATGTCAAAAGACAAGCCCATCTTGAGTGAGTCAGAAGCTGAGATTGACTTATGCTGGTAGACAGTTCACTCATCTCCTTAAACATGATGGCACAACATATGAATGCCTAACTAACTGAATCACCCGCAAACTAGAACGTTTCTGTTCACTGAGCGATAAATAGCTGTTTCTTCTGTCACCTTTACCCAACATGGGAAGACTTGAAATATCCAGAGCACACAGAAAGGAGACTAATTCCAAGAAAACCGATTTTAATTTAGAACTTGTTTCAAGTACAAGTACAATTGACATCCAAAATAGCCTTGTCATTATAGATATTTTCAACACTATCTAAGATAACTCTCCCAATACATTTGTGTCTCAAAAGCTTTGAAGTTGCCATCTATTTCATAACCTTAATTAAGAGAGTACAGATGAAAATAGGAAGCCCACACCTTCCACGTCTGCTTTGCATGTGGGGACCAAAGCTATCCCAGGAAGGATGGAGGAATTGTGTTGTCATGTTTCCGGTTGCTATGCCAAGCAGCTTGGCAAGAGACTACTTAAAGGAAGAAGGCTTTGTTTTGGCTGACTGCTTGAGAGCTCAAAATGGAGAAGGCATGGCTAGAGGAGCAGATGTCAGTTAGCCACTGGAAGGAAGGCAGGACTTAAAACCTCAAAGTCCACCCTCTGTGACCTACTTCCTACAGTGAGACTCTGCCTAATAATGTTCCACAAAATTTCCGAACAGTGCCACCAGCTGAAGGCCAAGTACTCAAACAAGCCTGTGGGGCATTTCATCTTCACACGGCCACAGGGCTCAACATACAATCCCTTATGAACATTTCTATATTATTCTTGATTTTTTTGTCCATCATATGTACTCAAGATATATACTGAAGTGATGCTTGTAAAGGCAGAAAAATAACTTTCCTTTTTATATTATTCAGTGCTTAAGGTTTTCACATCAGTGAGAAATCTTTAAAATATACAGTTTCCCAGAAGTGAGTTCAGTGCCGCTAAGAACGTGTGAGAAGCAAGTCCAGGGCTCAGAACATAAAGCAATGATGCTTACAAAGGTGGTATTTCATCCAGGAGGTAAGGATTGACTGACAAATCTTCTGATGCTGAAGGTAGTGAGGGATTCCTACCATTAGCTCAAGCTGAGAAGCTACAAAGCCCCAAAGAATCCTCTGAACTCGTCTCCCTAAGTATTCAAGCCTCTATTGAAAATCATCAACTTTCCTAACTAAAAGGTTATGGTGAGTGGGGTGAGGGAGGCAGAACATCAGACCTAGTGCTGTGATGATATTCCTACAGGGAAGATCGTACTCAGCCTGCATGCTTTTCCTTGTACGAGAATGTTCAAAGGGAAGAAGTGAGCAGTTTAGAAGCAGGGACCTGAATGTGTAAGATGCTACACAATCTATTTGCTCTTAGGCTGTACTATTTATTACACACCTGTGTATCTGGTCTGTTCTCCAATGCATCTTCCCTGCCTCTCCTGAGTGGCTATGTTTGGAACCGCAGTCAAAATCAAAATGATGTGTAAAGATAGACACTGAGATGCAGCATTGTACTAACAGGAGACAGAACTGCACTTTACTCATGGGCAGCATAAGAAAGGGCATGGGACAAACATGTGCTTGACATTTTTCTTTTGCACAGTAACAGCACAACTCAGGTGCACAGGTGTCTGGAAGTCATTCGGTACTTTACTGAAAGCTTTGCAGCAAAAGTGCAGGATTTGAAATACTTGTACAGACAGGAAGGAAATGCTCTTGATTTCTCATTGCACAGCAAACACTTCCACCTTCCCTATGGCATCCTTATCCAAAATCACCTCCATTGCTGTTGCAGAAGATATGATGCTGTCACAAGTTTCTTCCTGTGCGCAGAGATGTCCAGGGACCACAAAAATTAAGGTGGCGGCTGTGGGTTTTGTGAAGGGCTTTTGTCTTCTGCCTAACCACAGTGACCTCATTCCCCCTATTTAGAAAATGATTCAGCTGAACTTAGACTTGCAACTATTTTGAAATTTATGTATCACATCATACAACATGTGTTTTAATCAAATGAAGCAAAACTGTGTAGGGTGATTAGCCTGGGATTTTCATTCTTTGCATTTCTTTTGCTTTGGATACCAAACTCCTCCTCTCTACATTCTGAAGATCCTGTTGGGTTCTCCAGTTTGAGGATTTACTTCATTCCTGTTTATTTTTGTTTGTTTGCATGAAAGTCAACACTACCAAGTGACAATATCCAAAAATCACATTCAGAGATTTATTATACCAAGGGTTTTAACTAGGAGATCCAATGATGCCAACTGAAAATAATCTGTCATTTGGAGTTGATTTGCTTTGTTTTATTAGGAGAAAAGTTAAATTGAGCCAAATCTGGAATTATACAAGAAGCCATTTCATGAAGGGGTTGGCAGAGAAGATTGAGAAAGCAGAAAGTTAGAAAAGTATGATAATATACAAAATATTAGAAATCATTAAAAGAATATATAGTAATATCTATTGGCAGCTCTTAAATCCTTTTTCTCATTCTGGGTGAGTAGGAAGGATTTGGTTTGAAATCATTATGCAGAATTTCATAAAGTCATGAATGAATTTTTGGATAATAGTAGATAAGAGTAAAAAAAAAAAGAAGAATTTGAGGATAATATGTGGCAATGGGTTTTGGTGATTTTCTCCAAGACAATTCTCTCCTACACAGAAAGATTGATTTAAATCCAGAAACAGTATGCCAATTTATGATACAAAGTGACATCTATTTTAGGGCCAGATTGTGCCCCATAAACAGACACAATTATTATGTGGCAATTGCAAACACAAAGTTCCAGAAACAGAAGAATACAAAGTCATGATCTGGGAGCCTGATCCTGATCAAGAACCAAAGAGGACTGTGTAACACTTGCCTAACAAGTAGCTCCCTTTGCAGGGTGATTCTGCACCCACACAGGTAGCTGTTTCTGAGCAAGCTTACAATGGTGAGAATACTAGAGTCAATGAGTCTTTTATTAGATTTCTCACTAAAATCTGAGGAAGACAATAATCTTCCCATGCGTATTTTTCTTGAGCATCCTCTACCCAACACCAATGAGTTGGTACAAACTCCTGTGCTACCCAGGCCTCCTGATGGTTCTCATACATTTGTTAATTCACACAGAAACAAATACTACAGCCTGCTATCACTCCCTTTCTTTGCAGTGAACAGTACATTTTGCTCACTGTGGGGGGGGAAAGGCAGGAGGCAGTCTATTGTATTGTAACAGTTATCTCTGAATGAATAGAAGGAATTGCTTCCAAATGCAATCACAGAATTACTATAGATTAGTGTACTCTGTGAGTGTTAGTGCTGAGGTAAAATTGTTTCCTCTATTGCATGACCATGATCTTGAAAGTTTTCATTTTATTCCAATAATGGAGATGCTTGATCACACACTGAGTCAGGTAAATCAGCAGTCCTGAGCAGGCCATAACTAATGCCACGGCCAAAGACGGCATTAACTACAGTCTGATAAATACAATCTGACACAAGCTCATTTGATATGGTGACAGCAGGAATATGGACTTCTATTCAGAAATACAATACATAATAACAACAAATGTTCTTGTTTAGCATTGCAAGAGATAAGCCTAGGTACTATTCTTTGCAGTCTCTGTAGTGTTTCATTACTGAGGACTCTAACATCATGTGGATGAAAGAAGCAGAGACGTGAGCTAAAGGGAATATGCATTTTGCAGATCTGTGAGAGCCAAGGGGTAGCAGAGCTGTAGTATCAATTACAATGACAAACATGTGGCTGCTTACAAATTTTTAACTTGAAACATGAAAAGAGATTGTGATTCATCACGGCAGAACATATGAATAGCCTACAGCTTGGGTTTTGAAGTCAGTGACCTACTTTTGTCTCATTGGTTCCTATGGAAATTAAGGAGCACCTTGCTTGGAATGTTTATGCGTTTGAGATCAGTTCAAGCACTATGTAGAAAGTTGAACTGAGATGACAGTCTCATGCTTTGGAAGTGCAGACTGGGAAAGAATATTCTTATGTTAAGTTTAACCTAAGTAAAAACTAGATCTTTCTACCCTCATGAGTTTGTAGTGAGCATGAGAGAATCAACAGATAATAGACATGAAACATGCCTATGAAAGAAATGGCCTGCACAATCAGGATTTTAAAAAATAATGGAATTAATAAAGTTCCAGGTAAACAAATAATAAAAAATTGTTAAGGAACACACTCCTATGATTATTAACCCCATCCCCTTAGGCTTGCCAGCCAATGACTAGCAAACTACTGGGTAAGTTATAGTAGCTTAAGGATTGAACTGCATCTGATGAGCTGACAGGGAACAGGTT